ACCCCAACTCAGCAGCAGTTCTCAATCGTTCTCTCTTCTTTGTACACAAACTCCAGGCCGAAGAGGACAAGATTGAGGCTATGTACCTGGTTTTAATATCTATCACACATGCATACACCTCTCTCTCTCTCTCTTTATATATATATATATATAATATTATACTATTACAAAAATATGCAAAAATGTGTGAGTATTGGTGATAAAATGAAAATAGAAATGCCAAACTGGTGAGTCCCTTCTTAGTGACCCCCAACTCAGCAGCATTTCTCAATCTTTCTCTCTTCTCTTTGCACAAACTGCAGGCCGAAGAGGACAAGAAGAGCCACGATCGCATGCACGAGTTGGTGGAGAAGCTGCAGGGCAAGATCAAGACCTACAAGCGTCAGGTGGAGGAGGCCGAGGAGATAGCCGCCATCAACCTGGCGAAGTACCGCAAGATCCAGCATGAGATTGAGGACGCAGAAGAGCGTGCCGATCAGGCGGAACAAGCTCTGCAGAAGCTGCGTGCCAAGAACCGATCCTCCGTGTCAACAGCTCGCGGGACCAGCGTCGCTCCGCCCGGCAACGCTGTAAGCCAATAATTTTTGGCCAATTGTTCTGGCCTTCGGTTCTAGTTTGCAGAACGATACTGACTTGTTCACAGTAGCGTGGGTTTCAGTCCACTTGGTCGTAACTAAGAGTTGTAGGCGAATAAAGTAAATTTTTCCCACAATTCTATCCGAAGGTTTCTCGATTCCGTTGCATTTCAATTCATCTTGCGTGGATAAGACTATCTTTTGGTAAGCAAGACGATGTACATTCCAATGGAGAATTGGGGCCACCTGATGGCATTGTTTCAGCACCAACTATCAGTCCTTCATCACCTCATTATGGTGGAATTGCTGCCGTCAAAGCAATAAGCTGTACATTTTATTGGCATTGTGAAATCATCTGCTTTCAACTCACTTTAGGCCACCCAGTTTGGCTCAATTTATCATAAAATGAAGCAGAAATGATTTCAAGCTTTATACTTGCATCAAAATATGCTCACAAGTAATATTATTCATCAATAACTTGATGGACGATATCCACACGCGTCAGTTTTAACTTCAACGATTCCACATAAAATGAATTCTCTTTTCACTTATTTTCTAGTACCGTCGACAAACAACAGGTCGGGAACATGTCTTTAATGTGAGATGAAGGACTGATAGTAGAATTTTCCCA